GGTTTAGGGTTTAGGGTTTAGGGTTTAGGGTTTAGGGTTTAGGGTTTAGGGTTTAGGGTTTAGGGTTTAGGGTTTAGGGTTTAGGGTTTAGTAATTTAGGGTTTAGGGTCCGCCGACCCTGGCGGCGTGTTGGATGGGTTTGAGGAGCTTTCCCTCCTTACCCCCCCAAAACGCGGGCGGGGGGGGGGGCAGGGGGGGTCGGTGCACAATTTTTTCGTGGAGGACCGCACCACCCGCACAGCGTAAACAGGCGGTTCAGCACAGGGGGGTAGGGGCGCCCTCAGCAAAAATCAGCGTTTTCGGCACCCCCCCCACCCCGCCCCCGCCCACCTCCACCCCCCCACCCACCTGTCTTTTTGGCTCGAGCTTATCCTGGTGCTACCCCCTACCCCCCCCCCAAACGTTTCACAGAACTCTGCCGAGCAGGCTGGGATGATCTTCGAACCATGCGAGCGGGTTTCGACCTCTCAACTATGCTCGAGCGGGGTCGGCGGCTTGAGCCGGAGGCTCTTAAATTTAGGGTTTAGGGTTTAGGGTTTAGGGTTTAGGGTTTAGGGTTTAGGGGCCCTGTTAAGGCTTACAACGGTTGATTGGGCCTAGAGAGCACTGAACAGGTCGCTGCGGCGATCCGCTGCGCACTCGGCTTCTTTTGCTTCTCACGCCCCCTAAACCCTAAACCCTAAGCCCTAAACCCTAAACCCTAAACCCTCCTAAACCCTAAACCCTAAACCCTAAACCCTAAACTTCTCCTTCCGGGAGGGCCCAGTTGAAGAACTGGACCTCCGTTTTCTTAGCCTTCTCGATGTCTTCCACCTTCACTGATTTGCGAAACATGAGGCCGCGAAGCCTGAGAAGAAACTGGGCGGCAACAGCCCAATCCTGTTCTGGAAGCTCTGCAGGCGCAACAGCAGGTGTCGGTGGGCTTTAGGGTTTGAGGGTTTAGGGCTTTGGGGTTTGGGGGTGTCAGAGCTTTAGGGTTAAGGATTTAGGGGCTTGGGGCTTTGGAGGTTGGTCAAGGGTTTCAAAGCTTTAGGCTTTTCGGGCTAAGGATTTGTCAGTTTTGGAGGTGTTTATAGAGGGCCTCTGGCTTTCGTACTTCAGGGTTTTCGGGCTTCCGAGGGCTCGAGGGCTTAGCGGTTAGAACTTAGGGCTTATAGCCCGATGAACCTCTACACCCACAAGCCCAGGCATGAAAAACATACCTCACGAACGAAGGGTTTTAGGGTTTAGGGTTTAGGTTTTAGGGTATCTCCCAACTCGCCCCACCAGAAAAGCCTGAATGCTGCTGGCGCCCTTGCCCACCAAGCATTGAACCTAAGGAGAAAGCATACTTAAGCACGGGAAATGAAACAAAGGGAGCCCCGTGTCCTAAACGAGGTTTTTTTATGTATGATGGAACCTACTTCCGAATAACATGGAGGCGAAAGGTTACCTCTTCTGCACATAGTTCGCCACAAGCTCTAAGCCCTTACAGAAATGGACCCCAAAAACTCTAAAACCCTATACCCCGTAAACCCTACAAACCCCTGCAAGCATCAGAACTGCCCGAAACGCTAAACCCTAAATCCTAAACCCCAAACCCCAAACCCCAAACCCTAAACCCTCAACCCTAAACCCTACCTGAGCCATCTGGGGGATGGGCTGCTGAAGGCCCAAGACCACAAGCAAGCGCATCGCGGTCGACCACTCAACCGCCCGCCCGCAAGCCTCGGCAGCTTCGATGAGTTTAGGGTTTAGGGTTTAGGGTTTAGGGTTTAGGGTTTAGGGTTTAGGGTTTAGGGTTTCGGATTTAGGGGAAGTGTGGGTTTTTTCGGCGTTTTGGTTCAAGGGCTTTTGTGGCGAGCATCTTTCAGTGCAGGGGGTTGGGTATGGGGCATGCTGTGAAATTGGGAGGGGCATTCAACCCTACACTAAACCCTAAGCCCTCGACTGCAAACCTCAATCTACGGACGATGCTCAACACCTTTGGGGGCAAACCTCGACTTCTGCGCAAAGCTAGTGTATGCTGAAAACTGAATCTTGACCGCTTCATGAATAATCCATAGCCTATCGACCCTCCGACCGCAAGCAAGAGACCCTATACGGGAACTAACTCCAAGCCCTCATGAACCCCAACAGAACCCCCTTTGAGACACCTTCTAGACATGCTGATGGTTTAGGGTTTCGGGTTTGGGGTTGAGGGGTTAGGGTTCCAGGGTTCAGGGTTCAGGGTTCAGGGTTCAGGGTTTAGGGTTTAGGGTTTAGGGTTTAGGGTTTAGGATTTGCGTGTGAAGGCTGCCGAGGTTGAAGTTTTGTGGGTGCTATGAGCCACCAGGGAGCAGTCATGGCAGCATTGTAGACGATCACCTGCCAGGGTTCAGAGCTTTATCAGGTTTTAGGGTTCAGGGTTTATCAGGTTTAGAGTTTAGGGCTTACGGTTTAGGGTTTAGGGTTCTCTTTGAAGGTCAGGGGCGTTCGGGGAGCGCTTTTGCTCCCAATCGTATGCATCCGTGTGTTTCAATGTTCTGGTAAGCATACCCTCTGGAGCAACCTCCTACAACAAGCTGTTTCAACCCCATACTCTAGACCCCAGACGATGAAACCCTCAACCCCTCCCCTCTTTCCCATCCGACTCAACTCCCCCCCCCCCCCCCCCCCCCCCGCATTGGCTTCGAGCCGGTTCTTCTGAAGGTCGTCCAGCAGGTCCAGCGCTCTGCGCCAGTCGCCGGCCTTCGGCGCAGTCACGCCGAATTTTGGTTTAGGGTTCAGGGCTTTGAGTTTTAGGGTTTAGGGTTTTGGGTTTAGGGTTTTGGGTGTTGGATTGGCGCTTAAGGTGTAGGGATGTAGGTGCAAGGGCGTTGGGGGGTCTAGGGGGCTCGCTGCGAGCTGGTTTCCTAGGCTCAGGGCCTTCTCGGCCAGCTAGCTAGGCAAGTAGCCATTTTCTATATAACAGGGGCACGCTTCTTAGGTATGGGTGTCTTCTTACGACGGAACCCAGAATCGAAAAAGAGCCACAGATCGGCTGGACTAAACCCGAAACCCTGTGCACCCTCAACCGAGACAAGACCACAGGGCTTTGTGTCTGGCTGGCCTTTTCACAGGCGCTGATGGCGGCACCATATGTCACCACACCTGACGTGGTTCAGTAGGCTTGCAGTAGGTTTCCATGTACCCTAAACCCCTAAACCCTAAGACCTAAACCCTAAACCCTAAACCCTAAACCCTAAACCCTAAACCCTAAACCCCTAAACCCTAAGCCCTAAACCCTAAACCCTAAACTCGTCGGAAAACAAGCGGGCAACCCTCAAACCCCACACCGCCCCCTATCACCCCCAACCCCATTTAGGGTCTAGGGTTTAGGGTAGTTTAGGGTTTAGGGTTTAGGCTTTAGGGCCCCCGCCCCCCGTCTTCTGCAAGCCATGACACTGCTTTCCACCTGCTCCTGCTGGAGCTCTGCCAGCAGATGCAAGGCCAGCTGCCACTCGGTGGCCTGGCTCTGAGACACCCAAAGCCCGTGGTAGGAGGAACCCAGAAAACAACACAGCAACCAAAATGCATAAATGACAGTCTTCTATGGCAATCGTGCTTTCACGACGACGACGACGGCGGCGACGACGACGACCCTAGACCCTAAAACCCAAACCCTAAACACATCCCAACAAACGATACACCCTAAACCCTAAACCCTAAATCAAAACCCTAAATCCTGAAGCCTAAACCAACCCCCAAGCCGCCTTGCCGCAGGCGGCCATGGTGGCGTTGTGGGCGATGACGTTGGCTCCCAAGCCCTGGCCCCGGAGGACGCCTTGGCTCAGGGCCTTGAGCTTTCGGGTTTAGGGTTTAGGGCTAGGGTTTAGGGTTTAGTGTTTTTTAGACCCCTAAACCCTTGAACCCCATAAACCCTTGAACCCCTTAACCCCTTAAACCCCTAAAACCCTTCAACCCTTAAACCGCTGAAGCCCTTAAACCCTACGCCAACCTTGCCGAGGTTGACTTCAGCGCGCCGAGGCGCGCAGCAGCCACAAAGCCTGTGGCCACATGGCGGACCTTTCCTGGGTTGGGCCATCTGCACCCAAAAACCTGCTGAAAGTATTCCGGGGAACAAAAATATTCCACCAAACGCTAGACCCTAGACCCCCGTCCCCCTAAAGAAGCCCTAGAAAACCTTAAAGATCCTAAGCTCTCAATCCCCCAAATCCCTCAACCCCCAAAACATTACTCCAAGGGCCGAGTGAGTCTCGCAAGCCGCCACCGCCGCGCTGTAAGTAACCAGGTTAGGAACCAAGCTTGTGCAGGAGCTCAGGTGCTGCAGAAGGAGCCTGGGCTTCGGGTTTAGGGTTTAGGGTTTGAGGGTTTGAGGGTTTGAGGGTTTGAGGGTTTGAGGGTTTGAGGGTTTGAGGGTTTGAGGGTTTGAGGGTTTGAGGGTTTGAGGGTTTGAGCGTTTGAGGGTTTGAGGGTTTGAGGGTTTGAGGGTTTGAGGGTTTGAGGGTTTGAGGGTTTGAGGGTTTGAGGGTTTGAGGGTTTGAGGGTTTAGGGTTGAGGGCTGAGGGTGTAGGGTTGAGGGTGTAGGGTTTAGGGTTCAGGGTTTAGGGTTTAGGGTTGTTTCCTAAGGCGATCTTTCTGGGCTGGCAGCAGACATGGGAAAACAAAGGTGCTTTTGACAAGGGTTTCCAGAAGCGAAGTCACGCCCGTTGTTGCACTCAGGACTGCGGGGGCCCACCCCCCTGAAGCACCCGAGCCCTACCAACACGCACAAGCTAATGCTCTCTAATGCTCTCTGAAATCGTACCCCCCCCCGCCTTGTGTGATCTCACAACATACCTCTGGTTACAAATCGCACCCCCCCCCCCATCGTGTGGTATCTCACCGCATACACTAACATCAAATGCCCACAACAAAATGGCAACCTTTTTTCTATTTTGGGTGACCTCACAACAGCCCCAAGCAGTGTCCTACGGCATCTCACAACGTACACAAAAATGGCTGACAAATCTTGCGTGATCTCACAACATACCCAGTCTTCACCCTTCGGGAATCTTCCGTTGCGACAACAGCCAGCCAAGGAGCAGTGCCTGTTGCCACTCGCCTGCACCTCCAAATGCAGTGATGCAGGCGTTGAACGTGATCACATCCGGCAAGAGTAGCATCAAGCTCATCTCGCTCCAGAGGGCAAGAGCCATCTGCAAGGGAAATGAAGGGTTACCCGGACGCCCTACCAAAAAACCACTCAGAAAGAGAGGTCCCAACTCCCAGGCACTTGAAGGCCTTGCTGAAAGAGCCCGATGCGAAATCTGAGCCAACCTCCCAGCCCTAAACCCTAAACCCTAAACCCAAAACCCAAAACCCTAAATCCCCCCTGCGGCCTTCCATCGGCTTCCCAAAGCGGAGATGGCGGTGTTGTAAGTCCGCAGATTCCGCTCCTGGGACGATCCAGCCCGACCCAGGAGCAGCCTTGAGCGCTGATGTTGGGGTTTGGGGGGCTTTAAAAGGGTTCCATAGGCTTAGTTGTCCAGTAATCTGGGGGAATTAAAGGCTAACCATTGGGATTATGAGGGGATTATACTACCCCAAAAAGGTTAAAGGTTACCTACTCTACTACTAGGTAGGGATGAGAGGTCATAAATATGAAAAAGCTATGCTGGAGAAGTGGTAGTCAAGCCGTCGTTCGCTTATCTCTGGGGTCTCGGCTTTGGGATGTAAGGCTGGAGAGTCCTTTTCGAGGTAGACGGTTTTTGCATCGCCTTGAGGAAAAGCTGGGCATACTAAAGCCGAAAAAACGCAACAGGCTCTGCTGAGAGGATGCCATAGAAGCAGTGCCCTCTGCCACTCTTCGGCACGGCTGCAGGCATCGATGGCCGAGTTGTAGGACACCACGTCCGGGGTGAGATCCCAGGCTGGGATGCGATGGAACCTCTCATGCCCTGAATCCCCAAACCGTCGTTTAGGGTTTAGGGTTTAGGGTTTAGGGTTTAGGGTTTAGGGTTTAGGGTTTAGGGTTTAGGGTTTAGGGTTTAGGGTTTAGGGTTTAGGGCGTCTACTAAGCCCCAAACCGTACCTAAAGCATGGGTATCCACTCAGCCAACATGCTCTAAGCCTTGGACGCGCCCAAGTTCCCTGAGGTACCTTGAGGTTTAGGGTTTTAGGGTTTTAGGGTTTTAGGGTTTAGGGTTTAGGGTTTAGGGTTTAGGGTTCAGGGTTTCAGGGAGACCCAATGCCCTCCACCAGTTGCCAGCAGGACACAGCAAGAGGCCCCACTCCCACGCCCCACTCTTGCCGGTAGCGCTGATCAGGGCATTGTGGGCGATGAGTGAGGACCCAACAGCCGGATCCTGGCCACGGTGAGGGTTTAGGGTTTAGGGTTTAGGGTTTAGGGTTCAGGGTTGAGGGTTTAGGGTTTAGGGCTTAGGGCTTAGTAGCCCGAAACCCAAAACCCGAAGCCCTAAACCCTAAAGCCTAGACCTACACCCACAAACCTCAACCCTAAACCCTAAACCCTTAAGCCGTAAACCCTTACACCCCTAAACCCCTGAACCCCTAGGGTTTAAATCCATCAACCCATAAACCCTCAACCCTACAAACCCGAGCCAGGCTCTAGGTCCCCTTGTGCCTCGCCTTGTCCAGGAGCCCGATGGCTTGTCTCCAACTTAGGGCCTGCCGCGGAGGCTTTGGGCTCGGGGCTTCAGGGTTTAGGGGGTTAAGGTTTGGGGTTCAGGACGTAAGGCTTCGGGCTTCGGTTTTTGGGCTTGAGGGTTTCAGGGTCCCGAAACATCCCCCCATCATCTCCTCCACCCCTGAAGGTGCCCCTTTCTCCAGGTCTGCGCCTTGCACTGGGCCAGGACGGTCGACGCAGGGGGAGCGAGTCCACCTCCCGACATCCACGAGCACGCGGCGCGCGGGCGCCTGGTTTTCGAAGCTCACGGGCTTAGGGCGCTTAGGGAGAAACCGAGTCCTTATGCCCTGTAAGCCAAAAGAACCCTAAACCCTCAACCCTGAACCTCACATCGTTCGAACCAGCGGCGGGCAGCGAGCGCCATCACTAAGCTGCCGCAGCCCCGCGCCCTTTGGACAAGTTCGGTCTTGGAGAGCGTTTGGGGGTTTCGGGGATTTAGGGGTTAGGGGTGTTTAGGGGGTTTGGGGGTCTAGGGGTCTAGGGGTTTAGGGTAGGGGGGGGGGGGGGGTCTAGGGGGTCCAGGGTTCCAGGGTTTACGGGGTTCAGGAAATTCAGGGGGTTTCAGCAGTTGGGGATTATTGCAGCTCACTCTTTGGTGCAACCTAAAGAACTGTTCTTCTCTTCTGTCAACAGCGTTTTCTCAAGGCGACAACCCTAAACCCTAAACCATCAACCCTCAACCCTCAACCCACAACCCTCAACCCTACACCCTAAACCCTAAACCCTAAACCCTAACTGGCCTGGACGCTAATTCCAGCCCGGACGGCTGCCCCACACCATGGCACAGGTGCCCACCACCCCCCACAGCTGGAGCCGAGATCTGCTGAAACCCTACACCCTAAACCCTAAACCCTAAACCCTAAACCCCAGACCCTCTAAACCCTAAGCTAGCAACCAAATCCAACAGCTGGCCTCCTGCCTCCAAAGCAGCCAGGGCTTCTTGCATGCTTCACTACCCGACGCCTTTTCATCTCAGCCCTTAGACACTAGCTTAGGGGTTAGGGCTTTAGGCTTTAGGGTTTAGGGTTTAGGGTTTAGGGTTTAGGGTTTAGGGTTTAGGGTTTAGGGTTTAGGGTGTTACCTTGAAAGCCGCGAATGGGCCCCAAAATCAAAGGCGCTTGGGGTTGCGGTCTCCAGCATCTGAGGATGAGCTGCGACCGCTGAGGTTGGAGCCCGCGCGCGTTCAAGCCCACCATCATCTGCAAGGAGTGTGGGCGAGGGGCGGGGGGTTAGGGTTTGGAGTTTAGGGTATAGGGGTTTCAGGTTTACCGAGGGGGAGGAAGGGGCTGCGGGAAACAGTCGTATGGTCGTAGTTTCCAGCTCTGAACCCCACACTAGGTTGCTGTTAAAGAGCCCAGATAGGCAAGTTACCCTAGCGAGGCAAACACGACAATGGTACCATTGTATAAGACTACCTAGCCAACACTAAACTCCTTTCAAGTTCCTTGCAAACCCCGCGAACGTCAAGCCGACACAGCTTGGGGCGCCCTTCAGGGTGCAGTTAGCCTTCCCGGCGGGACTCGAAACTTTCTCAAGGGTTTAGGGTTTAGGGTTTAGGGTTTATAGGGTTTATAGGGTTTAGGGTTTAGGGTTTAGGGTTAGGGTTTCGGGTTCGGGTTTAGGGCCTGACTCGTTCGCGGGCTCGAGACATGCACCCTACACCCTAAGCTCCGAAACCCACACTACAAAGCCGCAAGGAGAGGAAAGGGGGCTCTTCTCTGGTATCCTGCGGTGCTCCCCCTTATACGAACAGCCCTTATCCCTAAGCCCTAAACCCTAAACCCTAAACCCCCATCCTCATTAAGCACGGTGAGCATGAGGGGGAACATCCCAACACTAAAACCCTCAACACGCTCACCACTGGAGGCACCTCAGGACGGAGGGCAGTTGCCTGCGTGGGCTCGTGGTTCTCTGCTTTTGGGGGGCGGGAGGGTGTGGAGGGTGACCTCAAGGACCCAAACCTACCTTTTTGCAGGTTGCTTAAGAATCCTGTAAGGGTTCGTTTATGGCCAGAACCTACAAAACAAGGGGCTTCGGTTTCTTAAGGTAGGGTTTGGGGTTCAGGGTTTCACGGTTTAGGGGCCCCTTGAGGGTTGACAGTGGCGACTGTCTCACTTGCCACGGTGCAGCTTGAAAGACCCGACCCTCCAACCGATAGGGTTTAGGGTTTAGGGTTTAGGGTTTAGGGTTTAGGGTTTAGGGTTTAGGGTTTAGGGTTGAGGGCTTACCCTCCGCAATTGTAGGGCACCCTTAGCCCGAAAATTCGGGTATAGGGTTCGTCGGCTTTCCCGTTTCTTCCGGCCGACCCCGATCCAGGTGCGAGGAAGTCACCCGAATGCGGAGACACCCCCTCCCCGCCACCTTTCCTGGAAGCCCTCAAAACCCCAACCAAGGGACCCAGCTTAAACCCCAGCACACCTACAAGCCTCCCAAGTGCCCGAAGCACACCCTCATTCAACCCACAAACACAACGTTCAAAAGCACAAAGATATCTTTAAAAACACAGAGCTAAAATAAAATAACAATAACAATAACAAAAAGAATAGGAGTAAGAATAAGAAGAGTCATACTAAGAATACTAATAATAAGAAGAAAAAACCAAAGAAAACAACAACACGGTTCATAATGACGCCTGGAACGCCCTGAGCCCTGTTTATGCTCCCTGCGATGGCTGCGCAGCTTTGGACACAGCAGACATCATTTAGGGTTTAGGGTTTAGGGTTTAGGGTTTAGGGTTTAGGGTTTAGGGTTTAGGGTTTAGGGTTTAGGGCTAGGGTTTAAAAGTTTAGGGTTTAGGGCTAGGGTTTAAAAGTTTAAGGCTTAAGGTCTGAGGTTCCTCTTTTGGAGGAAGCTCCTGCTCTGCAGCTGCCGAAGCCACAACGGCTTGGGGTTCAGAAGGTATGGGCCTTGCAGGGTTTAGGGCGTAGGGCTCAAGGGGCTTCTAGGCCTCAGGGAACCTGAAGGTTTGGCCTTCTCATGCACCAAAAGCGGAGCTAAACCCCACAACCCTAAACCCCCACCCTAAACCCTAAACCCTAAACCCTAAACCCTAAACCCTAAACCAGGGCTCATAGGTTGGAGGGCATCCGCTGCAGGCAGAGCTTCCCTTTCATGCCCACGCAAACTGCAGGGCGTGTCGGTGCCAGCGTCCCCGCCGGTTCCGGCCAGACTGCCAGGCTGAAATGCTTATTACTCTTCGAAACATGTGCCCTAAACCCTAAACCCTAAACCCTAAACCCTAAACCCTAAACCCTAAACCCTAAACCTTAAACCCAAATTCATTGGTACAACCACTGCCGGGGTGTCCGCCCCGAGCCCCTTTGGGGCACGGCGGCGCGCAGCGTCGGGCAAACGCTTGGCGATGACTACGGAAGACGGAAGGCGTTTAGCAAGCCATGTATAGGGTTTAGGGTTTAGGGTTTAGGGTTTAGGGTTTAGGGTTTAGGGTTTAGGGTTTAGGGTTTAGGGTTTAGGGTTTAGAACTTAGGGTTTACGTTTTTAGGGCTTAGGGTTCTTAAGGAAGGGTGGTTCAAGGGGTTGTATGTTCCCTAATAATTACTCCCCACTACCCCCCATGAACTCCTCGCCCCCCTTTAGAACCCTATAACATGTCAATGCTCTGGTCTCTGACCCTAATAGGAAATTATAGCGGTATAGGTTTAGGGTTTAGGGTTTAGGGACACTCACAGGGTTGTGTAGGGAACCAATGCAGGATTTTCCTTTCTCGGAACTGCGGATCCGCTACACGACTACGCGAAACATATGCTGAGCGAGATCAACCCTAAACCCGCCCCCCCTCGAAGCCCTAAACCCTCACCCCTGCGTTTCAAACCGAGACCTTTAACCCTCAACCCCAAGCCCCAAGCCCCAAACCCCAAACCCTAAACCCTAAACCCTAAACCCTAAACCCAGGATAAGTGGCATGCTTCTTGAAGGATTTGAGGCGTGATGCCAGGGATCAGGGCTCCAGGGGCCGGTTCTTAGGGTTTAGGGTTTAGGGTTTAGGGTTTCGGGTTTAGGGTTTAGGGTTTAGGGGGTTTAGGGTTTAGGGTTTAGGCTTCTGAAAACTTGCTCAAAACCTTGAGCCAGGTCTCCGTAGTCACAGGAGGAAACCATCTTTGGGGTTCCGGCTGGTGCTGAGAATCCGGCAGCAGCTCAATTTTTGCGGCCATCTCTCTGGGTTTAGGGTTTAGGGTTTTGGGTTTTGGGTTTCGGGTTTAGGGTGCCGCCCTCCCAGTGCTCTGGTATGCTTATCCCGAGTTTGGAGCCCACGACCACATATGATCATCAGGGTCCCCGTTTTTTGGGCTTTACCCTAAACCCTAAACCCCTTTCTTGGTGCCTCAACCCTCAACCCTAAACCCCCTTACCGTTTAGTTTACAAGGCAGCCCATAAGCCAAAAGGGTAAAAGGGCACCACTCAGCCACCAAACCTTGATGGGGGGGTTGCACCCGATGCCCGCCACGTTCACACCCTGAACCCTCGACTTTCAAAACGTGTGGTTTGTGGGACTGTGACACGAAAACCTAAACCCTAAATGCCCTAAATCCTAAACCCTAAACCCTAAACCCCAAACAGACACTTTGTGGTGCATGGAGCTGCCAGATTTAGAGCGCCAATCGCAGGGGCGTCCCCTTTTGGGACCCCCGGCTTTTCAAAAACATCTGCTTCGCGTGGACCCGTTTTTCCCCTGGTGCTTAGTAAGTAGGGAATGATGATGTAGGGTACCTCATTCCCTCATTCCTTTCTAAGAACCAGCCCCTTTTGGGATATGGGGGAACGAGAGGCGTAGGGTTCGGAAAAAATGTCTCAGGGTTCAGAGGTTGAGGAGTCTAGGGGTTTTGGAGTTTCGGGTTTAGGGTTTAGGGTACTGTAGGGTTTAGGGTTACGAGATTTTGAGGTGTAGGGTTTAGGGTTGAGGCGCCCAAGCTGATGCTCCACAACCTCACTCCGTTCCTGTACGGGCGCGGGCTATTTTAGGGTTCAGGGGTCTAGAGAAACTAGTCTTACCAGCAAGGAGCAGAATGGCATAAAGTGACATCCTGCATGTTCACCCTAAAGCCTAAACCCTAAACCCTAAACCCTAAACCCTAAAGCCTAAACCCTAAACCCTAAACCCTAAACCCTAAACCCCCCCCCGACCCAAAGGTCCTCAGCCATTCCGCAGGGGAAAGGGTTGCTCCGACCGGCGCTTCACCACCCGCCGCTCGCGGGGCGCGTGCGACTTCAGCCTGGGGGAGCGAGGGGTCCTGGGCCCTAAACCCTAAACCCTAAACCCTAAGCCCTAAACCCTAAACCCTAAACCCGAAATCCTAAACCCTAAACCCTAAACCGCAGCTAATCAGCATAAACGACCCCTAACAGCCCCAAACCCCTCAAGCCTTGGACCAAATAGGATCTTTGGGATCTACTAGGCTTGAGCGGGATTTCATTTAAGGGCTTCTCTAGGGGAATACCCTTAACCTGACCCCGAAACCCGTCAACCCCTTTACTCCAAAACGCCTAAAACCCCTAAACCCCTCAAGCCTAAACCCATAACCCGAAACCCGAAACCCTAAACCCTAAACCCTAAGCCTCCGAACCTGGAGACCCGCGGTTTCCTGAGGCGGCCGCCGGTAAATTTCGCTGGGATCCTTGGGTGGAAAAGCCGAGTTCCCGGGGAAGTTTATTAGGGTTGAGGGTTTAGGGTTAGGAATCGGGTGGCCTGTTGGAGTGCAAATGGGTTTCTGGCTACGAGTACCTATGCAGGGTTGATAAAGTTTGCGGCCAGGCCCAAGTAAGGCTTTGTCATAGTTGGTCCTCTACTTGGCTGCACTTAGAAGGGTAGCTAAAAATATAATTTTTCCTGCCTTATTAAGAAACCCAATAAACCCAAAAAGGCTAAGGATCTAAACTACAGTAAAGCACCACAGAGTCCAAACCTGAGTTTCGGGGATTGCTCCGGCGGTCAAAAAATCAATCCCTCAGGCCCTGGAGACCTAGCCCTAAACCCGAAACCCTAAACCCTAACCCGAAACCCAAAACCCTAAACCCTAAACCCTAAACCCCAAACCCTAAACCCTAAATCTCTCTTTCATAGATACGTGATTGTCCTGAGAATGCTTCTCGCCCCGAAGCAGAATGCCCTAAACTCTCAAACCCTAAGCCCTGGAAAGCCTTGACTACACATCCTATAAATCTTAGAGCCAAACATCCTAAGCATCCTACAGCCCTATAGCCCTGCAAGCTATACGGGTTGGTGGTCTCTTTAATGAGGGATTCTGGTTTATAGTGGCATGATATTGGGGGTTCTCATTTGCGTATAGGGGCTATACTAGTAGAAGGGCAACAGATAAAGAGGCCACCGGCCTTTATAACCTATAAGCCCTGAACCCTAAACATTCTAAAAACATTTATAGAGCCCGAAACCTTGGGATGTTCCCCCTTGTACTGAGGGTCCTTAAGAGGGATTCTACGACCCCCTATGATAATCACTATTGAGGACCGTTAGGCAAAAAAAAAGGGGGAACACCAATCCTAAACCCTAAGCCCTAAATCCTAAACCCTAAACCCTAAATCCTAAACCCTAAACCCTAAATCCTAAATCCGAGACCCTAAACCTAAACCCTAAACCCCAAATCCTAGACCCTAGGATCTGAACCCTGAAGCCAAGACGCAAGAACATCATCTTGTCGAGGCTTGAAGTCTTCGCCTCGTCTGCTTTTCTTTTTTTCTCTTTGGGGGGGGAAGGGGGGGGGGGGGAAGGGGGGGGGGGGGGGGTGGGGGAGGGGGGGGAAGGGGGGGGGGGGAGGGGGGGGGGAGGGGGGGAGGGGGGGGGAAGGAGGGGGGGGGAAGGGGGGGGGGAAGGGGGGGGGGAAGCGGGGGAAGGGGGGGGGGGAAGGGGGGAAGGGGGAGGGGGCAATCCCAATCAAGCAGTAGATGGGCTGATGTCCCCCCTGCACAGACGCAAGAAGAAGCTGAAACCGACGAAAACAACCAGGGCACACATCAAAGGAGTCTTAGTTGCTGAGTTCATAAGCCCCCCAACAGTGACACTTTCAGTTCTATAGAGGATTATATTATCCCCAAAAGTGTAAAGTGTACTCATCCAGCTACTAAGGAGTACTATGTGGTGTTCAGGAGGAGGGGCATGGTTGGGCTTGAAGGTTTAGGGATGCTTCCAAACCCAAACCCAACAAATTCGTTGGTTGTAGCCACCTATAATGGTACATCACCCTGACCCCCCCCCCAACCCCGAAAAGCTGACCCCTGCAGAATCAAAACGAAAACACGCCTGAGTCAACAGGTTTTGAGTAAGGGCTGGAGGATTGAGGGTTTAAGGGTTCAGGGTTCAAAGATGGAAAGGGTTTAGGGCAAAAGGTGTCCAGAGTGTGGCGGCCGGCTTTGAAGGACCGGTAGGTTCATCGAAATGTATTTAATCAAAGATTTCACAAAATCCTGGAAGCTTTCCTCGAAACTCCCCGACATTTTCCTCGAAACTCCGCGAAGCTTTCCCCCGAACTTCCGAGCTTGCAAACCCTGAATAGTTTCAATCAAACCCTGAACCCCAAGCCCTAAGCCTCTTGAGGGTTTAGGGTTTAGGGTTTAGGGTTTATTTAGGGTTTAGGGTTTAGGGCTTAGGGAGGGCTCTTGGGGAGTTGGGTGCAGGGCTCGAGGGAGGGGAGGCCTAGGGCCCCCAAATCGTGCCTCCAACCAACTCACGGCTGGCCCGGTGGATCCTGGTCAGAGGCTGAATACTGGTTTAGGGTTTAGGGTTTAGGGTTTAGGGTTTAGGGTCTAGGGTCTAGGGTCTAGGGTCTAGGGCTTAGGGATAATGAATGAATAAACACCATAAGAAGCCTCAAGGTTTAGGGCTCAGGGTGGGGGGGTGGGGGGTGCTGGGGCCCCGCCCTATCACCTCGGCTTAGCACCCCATCACATACCACGACTGATGCATGCTCTAGGCCTGTACTAGCCCAGTAACTTAGGCTTAACAAGGGTGCCCTTTTTGCTTAAAGGGGCTAAGAAGGGAACCTTAAACCCCCAAAAAGGGAATGAGGGCACTGCTGGGCATCCTAGTGTAGTACGCAGGCACTTCCTACTTCAGCACATCCATCTGAGAGCAGGCTCTTCCACTATCGCTTCACCATAGCTCTTCTGCACTCTTCAGCGTAGCGCTCGCTCAGCTGCCTAAATCCTAGACCCTAAACCCTAAACCCTAAACCCGATAAAGCCCCATGACAGGGCAAGAAGCGGGCGGCTGGAGGATCAAGCAAAACGCAGAGAAGCGGTGAGGGTTTCCCTTCAATGGCAACATCGGTTTTGCAAGTCCATGCAACTCCAAGATTTTGCGGCTTCTGCCATTTGTCCAAATGCCAACAAATACGTCAACAGTGACATGCAGTGCACGCAATGTGCTGTCCAGCGGCCACAACACCCTCCTTCTCCCGACGCGCAGAGGGCACGCAGAGACTTTAAGGTTGTCCCTCAGAAGATGTGGTACCACTTCCGGTTGAGCTCCTTCTTTACCTTCTTTGCGAAGCTTTGGTCCAACTTGCAACCTGCGGCGCAAGGCAGACATCGCAAAGGCTTCTTCTTGAGCCACTCTTGGACATCGCAGGTCGTTTCGCATGCCATGAGCAGCTTGCCCTTAATGGATTCGACCATCTCCTCGCAGGTATCGCGCAGGTCCACCACCAGCATCTGTGGGAGCCAATGATTCCGCCCGGGCGCAAACGTGCGCACGTGCCAGGGGTCGAAGCTCGCATAGAAGGAGTTGAGGTTCACGGTCGTGGCAATCGTCGGCAGCTCGTAATTGTAGAGGACCGACTTGTAGAAACTGCGCTCAGCGCTTGGATCCAAGTCCTTGTTCACGATGACCACGACGCTGCCCTGCAACGATCCTTTCCTTAGTAGCCCAGTAACCATATTACAACAAGGGCACCCTTTTTTTGGCTGGCTACTTCATAGGGGAACCCAGAACCAAAAAAAAGGGTAAAGGGTACCACTGGGATACCAAGTTTCATGTCCTTCACAAATCTCTCGCTGGCCATCTTCCAAAAGTTCGGGACCAGGCCCTCATCCCTACGTTCGCCTGTGAAAGAGACCTGTGCAGCGAGATCGTTGTTGCACGCTTGGAGATCTCCATGCTTCTCGACCATCTCCCCGAGCTTCGTGCTGGGATGGACCGTGCTGGCGTCCACGAGGTTGGCGAAGTGAAGAAGGGCCTTCTTGCTGGTGCGGCCAGGCTCACCTCCGTCCCACATCCCTGCCCAAAGCATGGAGTCCTTGTCAGATGACGTCAGGTTCTCCACGGCGAAGGTGTTGCTCTCGCCGGCGAAGACCATCCCCACCATGAGGTTGCAGGCCACCCCCTGCGGAAACTGCTGAAGGCAAAATCCCACCAAGTCGTCCTTCAGACCCTGCAGCTGCTCTCGGCATCGAGGCGTCAGGCGCTGGAGCTGCTGCTCCGTCGGCGGGTAGCCGGGGCTCACTTCTCTCTCCGCGCCTCGCGCGCGCATGGCGCTCAGAGGGCGCGCAGCCACAGCCACGAGAAGCAGCAATGGGAGTGGCGTCATGGAGACCCATTTGGGGGGTTATGATAGGAGGTGTGTACCTTGTTGGGGTCCGTAGGTATAAGGGGATCCTACTATTTGGGGGTCTTTTTTGGGGGTCCCCTTGTTATGGTAAGGCCCCATTTTTAAAAAACAAACAACGACGAACTGTTCGCTTTGATTGAGATGGTCACACAAGTGCAGGGGACCTCTAGCATTTAAAGAACCAGCCATGCTCCTACCGCTGTCGGGCAACCCACTTTGTCCAACACTCTGCTCGAAAAAGTCTTTCTCAACAATCTAGGAGGGCCCAAAGAAGTTTAGGGCTACCCGTGTACAAGCCCTGAACCCTAAACCCTCAACCCTACACCCTAAACCCTTTTTAAAGCCTATAGCCTAAAGCCTAAAGCCTAAAGGCTAAAGCCTAAAGCCTAAAGCCTAAACCCTAAACTCCAAACCCTAAAGCCTTAAATCGAAGCGAAAGGCAGCCCTGAAGCCCTAAGCCCTCAAGGCGTCCGATCGCCTAGCTCCCCGGACAAACCCCTTCAACTACTAGACCGGTTTAGGGTTTAAGGTTTAGGGTTTAGGGTTTAGGGTTTAGGGTATAGGGTTTACCGTATACACAAGAATCATGAATTCATGTCAGGAAGGAAACACTTACAACGATCCAGACCATCCAGACTGAAGCACTAACCGTTAATTGTACAAATGACAGATTATCCTAAACCCTAAACCCCAAACCCCAAACCCCAAACCCCAAACCCTAAACCCTAAACCCTAAACCCTAAACCCTAAGCCTATACAACAAGGTATTCTCGGAGCCTATATCTAAGCCCGAAACCCAAACCCCAAGCCTCAATGCATCAATCTGTCACTGCATGAGGCCTCTCTGTGAAGATCGCCGGGCGTCCCCGCTGTTGCCTGAAGGAAGGTCAGCTCGCAGCGCGCAGCTCTCGTAGGGTTTAGGGTTTAGGGTTTAGGGTTTAGGGTTTAGGGTTTAGGGTTTAGGGTTTAGGGTTTAGGGTTTAGGGTTTAGGGTTTAGGGTTTAGGGTTTAGGGTTTAGGGTTTAGGGTTTCGGGATCGCAGCTCCAGATGCAGGTGTACATTTCAAAGAACCCCAAATAAGTGGGTCATAAGTACCATGAACCTCCCAGTGCTGAGGCCGCGAACGGAAGGATCGGGAGTCGGACGTCGTCCCCGTGAAGCGAGTAAGCTGGCAGAGCGCAGCAGGGCATCCGAGTAGAAACCCTCTGAATATTGAAACCCTAAACCCCAAACCCTAAACCCTAAACCCCAAACCCGAAACCCTAAACCCCTAACCCGAAACCCCAACCCGTATCCCCGGCTCTGCGGTTGGGAGTCTGACAACGTCAGGGCGCAAAGCTCACAGGGTTTGGGATTCTTGTTGGGGGTGACGGTTGTAGGGTAGGGCTCAAGTTTTACTTTCAGCACTTAGGGCTGCGGATTGGGAAACGCCAAGCCCACCTGTCACTACAAGTCTCGTGCTCATGTTTGAGTCTGGCTCCTCCCCCCTGAGCCGTCAAACCCTAAAACCCTAAACCCTTAGACCCTAAGCCCTAAACCCTAAACCCTAAACCCTCAACCCCAATCCCAAAGCCCCAAACCCCAAACCCTGAACTGCCACCCCTAGATCTTATGCCGTAAGCCCAAACCTTCGAGCCACGGGAATCGCGCCTCCCAGCGGTGACCCATCCTTCACGCCAAACGGGACAATGCAGGGAAGGGCTTGGGCCATAGGGGCTTGGGTCGTGGGGTTTAGGGTTTAGGGTTTAGGGTTTAGGGTTTAGGGTTTAGGGTTTAGGGTTTAGGGTTTAGGGTTTAGGGTTTAGGGTTTAGGGTTTCGGGAGGTTGAACACAGCATCAAGGGCGGCATGACTAGTCGTGCGGCGTTCATCTGTGTTCCGCGAAAACTTTGGAACTCTTCATCCGCACCCGCAAGGACCAGCGATGACATTCAACTGCAAGCTCTTTGCTAGGGAACCAGCTTTCGAGTTCCCAATATCATAGTCGTCATGGCCTGTTGAAACATAATCAGCGGGTTGGTTGTCATTGCCGCCCACCCCCACCCCCCGAAACACTGAGCCCTAAACCCTTAAACCCTAAACACTGAGCCCGAAACCCTACCTCCACAACGCCCCGCTCGCCCCCCCAAACGAAGACAGCCCCGAGACACAACGCCCTACACCCTAAACCCTATAAACCCTAAACCCTAAACCCTAAACCCCAAACCCTAAACCCCAAACCCTAAACCCCTAACCCTAAACCCTAAACCCTAAACCCTATAAACCCTAAACCCTAAACCCCAAACCCTAAACCCTAAACCCCAAGAAGCCCATTGGCCTCATCCTCCATCAGAATCCGTCGCGAGGCCCGGAGGCTTTCAAACCGCCTGAGATCGACCATGGGGGGGGATGAGGGTTCAGGGGTTCAGTGTTCAGGGTTTAGGGTTGAGGGTTCAGGGTTCAGGGTTCAGGGTTTAGGGTTTAGGGTTTAGGGTTTAGGGTTTAGGGTTAGGGTTTAGGGTTCAGGGTTCAGGGTTGAGGGTTCAGGGTTCAGGGTTCAGGGTTCAGGGTTTCGGGTTTAGGGTGTAGGGTTTAGGGTTAGGGTTCAGGGTTTAGGGTTTAGGGTTTAGGGTTCAGGGTTTAGGGTTTGGGCAATGAGGTTTGGGGTTTCTCCAGTCTGCTGTCGTTGAGGGCTCCAAAGCCCGTGATGGGTCTTTCAGCGTTTTGAGCCATCAAGGGCTACGTAGGGCCTTTAGGGTTTATAGGGTTTATTAAAGGATTTCTTTATGCTTTAACGCAGACGTTTCTACCGACCGGGTGGAGGGAGCTCAAAGCCGCACCACAACGAAGTACAGTCACATATTCCCGACTAATTTAGACCTTGAACTCTTGCCCTATACCCGAAGCTCGAAACCCTAAACCCTAAACCCTAAACCCTAAGCCCTAAACCCTAAACCCTAAACCCTAAACCCTAAACCCTAAACCCCAAGAAAGGGTACTGTTGAGGGCAGACAGAAGCTTGATACGGGTAAACGGACCCTACGAATACACCCTAGAGAAGAGCTGCAAAAAAAAAACCATGTTCTACAGCCTTTCAAGCAGCTTCCCCTTGCGTTGTATCTGAGCAGCAGAACGCACAAAGCAGCAAATTCCTCCGCTACAACCCCGTTAAGCCCTAACACCTAAACCCTAAAACCCTGAAACCCTGAAACCCTGAAACCCTGAGGCCTCAGAGCCTAACCCCCAAAGACCCTCAACCCTAACACACGAAGCCCAAAAGTTCCCTAAACACTGGACCATAAAAATACTAAATCCTAAAAAACCTTCGTAGCCCAGGAACCATATCACGATAAGGGCACCTTTTTGCGGGTTGGTTACTTCATAAGGGAACCCAGAACCAAAACAAGGGTCAATGGTATCACTGGGCTACCAAGAAACACTAAACCTCCTGCCCGCTAAACCCTAGCCCCTAAACCCTAAACTCACACCCTAAACCCGAAACCCTAAACCCTAAACCCTAAACCCTGCCTTGGCAGCTTCTTTCGCAGCTCTGGCGATGCTTCGGAGAACCAGCGCAGGGCCTCCAAAGGGTTTAGGGTTTAGGCTCTATGGTTTAGGGTTTAGGGTTTTGGGTTTAGGGAGGAGGTGAAGGACCATATTCAGGGTCGATGGTAGCTACCCTTGGAAGGGTTGGGGGTTGAGGGTCTTAGCTCTTAGGTCTTAGGACTTAGGGTATGGAATTTAGGGTATGGGGTTAGGGTTTGGGGCGTAGACTACAGGACTTTTGCGGTATGACTGCTAAGGTATGGGGTTGAAGGATTTGCGTTTGGGGAGGACTTGTGCTTGGGGTTGCGGTTTAGGGGTTTAGGAATCACCTTGCATACCTGTTATGTTCCTTGGGATTCGCCTTGTGGCTCGGGGTTCAGGGTTTGGGACTGAGACGGCTTTCGGTCGAGGCTTTGTGCAAACCCCGGCGCCCTCCAAAAAGTGAAAACTAAAAAACAACCCCAAACCCTAAACCCCTGAACCCCTATGCCCTAAACTGAAGTAAGAGAAACAGCTTGCAGCCAGTTCCTTCGTCTCAACAAGCATGCGGTGCTTCCTTGCCACGGGGCTGCGTCGGGGTTTAGGGTTGAGGGTTCGGGGGCTAGGCGGGGTCGAAACCCTAAACCCTTTGAACCCTTTGAACCCTATGAACCCTATGAACCCTATGAACCCTATGAACCCTATGAACCCTATGAACCCTATGAACCCTATGAACCCTATGAACCCTATGAACCCTATGAACCCTATGAACCCTATGAACCCTATGAACCCTATGAACCCGAACCGGGAGTTGCTTGGCTATCTACTTCAGGCTTGAAGACTTTCGGGCCATTCGGCTTTCAACTGCCGCATTCCCTAACCCCGAATCCCCCCAAATATCTGCGAAGTCGAGAGCTTTAGGGCTCAGGGTTTAGGGTGTAGGGTTTAGGGTGTAGGGTTTAGGGTTTAGGGTTTAGGGTTTAGGGTTTGGGGTTTAGGGTTTGGGGTTTGGGGTTTAGGGTTTAGGACTTCTGAAAAATTGAGGGCTTCAGGGCTCAGGGTTTAGGGCTTAGGGGTGTGGGGAGGAATTGTTCCATTGAAGGCTCTGCAGTTTGGTTTCTAAGAGGTCTATAGGGTTCATATGATTTCAGGGGCTTTAGGGTGTAGGATTTAGAGGGCTGGAGATTTCGGGGCCATTTCTGGGACTAAAGGTTAAGTCTCTCTTGACCCTGCGACCCTACGAACCTACGAACCTACCACCCGAAACCCGAAACCCGAAACCCGAAACCCGAAACCCTAAACCCTAAACCCTAAACCCTATCCCTCCCCCTCTAAACATCCGCCGCACGGCTCGGCAAGGTCGAACGGCAACGCCATGCACGGTGGCTGGATGGGGGGCAGCGAGGGTGTTAGGAACCTGGGAGAACTTGGCTGCTTAGGGTTTAGGGTTTAGGGTTTAGGGGGTTTAGGGGGTT